CGGAGCCTCCGCTGAAATCAGTGCTTCTTCCCCTGGAGATTTTTTGCTGCTGAGTTCGCATTTCAGCCAGAAAGGCTGGAAGCGGAGCCACAGGACGTGGAGCCGCTGGGGAGAAAGAGCTCCCCAACCTTTCCCAAACTGCCCTTTCCCCCCCACTAGGAATAAACCCAAAGCGCTACGGGGACGGCAGGCCGTTTCACTTAACTTCTTGCGTGACGTTTCCTCGCTGGTTCCCATTTTAACTAGAAGAGATTGCAGATCCCATAAGGAAAAAATAATTTGTCAATCAATTAAGAGCAGAGATGGATATTTTCCAAGTGGACTTTCCCAGGCCTAATCCAAGAGCCAGAGCCAGTGCAACGCATCTCCGCGTTTTCCTGCCTCTTCGTTTACTCCAGCGTCGGACAGTCACTCGCTGGCTTTCTTCAGTCACCTCCTCCCATTGCCTCATTGATTATTTCTGCGTTGATCATCATTATTTTGGGGGAGTGGGGTTTTTTTTGTTTTCCCCTTAAAACAGTCGCTCCCAAGGCAAGAGCCGCCCGCAGAGGGCACCGCGAAACCACCAGGCTCTCCCTCCGTGAGATCACAGCATTAAAAAGCCAGGTAGGTTTTGGGCGGTTCTCGCAACACCCGCGCTAAAGCCGGCGCCGTCCGACCTGCCCCACTGGATGCCTCAGCTGCCCCCTCCTGAAAGGAGCTAGCGATGCTCTTTTCCTCCTGAGCGCTTTGGGCCAGCGGCAGGAAGGCCGGCTCCCCCGGGCTCCCTGGCAGCCCCTTTCCGAGCACGGCGTTTCAAAGGTAAACGCACCCTCCGCAAAGCACCTTTTCCTCTGATGACGTTTTTTAAGAGGAGCCAAGCGTTGTTTGGAAACCCGTGCACGACGACATGAGCCAGGCGAATGGCATGTGGCCGCGTGGCCTTGCTAGGAGCAGGGGGTCTTTTGGGACATCGTTAGCGCAAAGATATCTGCTAGCAGTTCGTTTCTTACCCCCCCTCCCCAGCCTCCATTGCTGCGTTTTCTTACTAAATTTGTCTTCCTGGGAAACATTCAGATATTATTTTCATTGACTATAGATATGCCTTGAAATGCTAATCTGATGCTCTGGGCAACCTAACCTCATTAATTTCCCTGGTATTAGCGCCCGGGACGGGGCAGGGCGCCAGCCGCCGCTTTGCTGCGGGAAACCCCTTCCCCTGCGGCCACCTCCAGCCGCGGCCCCCC